TGAAGCGATGGAGGCAGCAGATGAATGTATATTGGTGGAGTGGAAAGATGGAGGCAGCATATGAGCGTTGAACTGGTGGAGTGGAGGGATGGAGACAGCAGATGAGCGTTATATTGATGGAGTGGAGGGATGGAGGCAGCATATGAGCGTTAAACTGGTGGAGTGGAGGGATGGAGGCAGCATATGAGCGTTAAACTGGTGGATTGGAGAGATGGTGGCAGCAGATGAGCATTATACTGATGGAGTGGAGGGATGGAGGCAGCATATGAGCGTTAAACTGGTGGAGTGGAGGGATGGAGGCAGCATATGAACGTTATACTGGTGGAGTGGAGGGATGGAGGCAGCAGATGAGTGGTATACTGGTGGAGTGGAGTGGAGACAGCAGATGAGAGGTGTTCTGGTGGAATGAAGCGATGGAGGCAGCATATGAACGTTATACTGGTGGATTGAAGCGATGGAGACAGCATATGAGCGGTATGCAGGTGGAGTGAAGCGATGGAGGCAGCATATGAGCATTATACTGATGATATGAGCGTTATACTGATGGATTGGAGGGATGGAGGCAGAGGGATAGAGAAAGCAGGTATTTTACTTGTGGAGCACACATGTCATACTATTGGTACTTATAGGGATGGAGGCAGCAGATGCGTGGTATACTGGTGGAGTGAAGCGATGGAGGCAGCATATGAACGTTATACTGGTGGATTGAAGCGATGGAGACAGCATATGAGCGTTATACTGGTGAAGTGAAGGGATGGAGGCAGCAGATGGGCATTATACTGATGGAGGGGAGGGATGGAGGCAGCCGATTAGCATTATACTGGTGGAGTGGAGAGATGGAGGCAGCATATGAACGGTATACTGGTGGAGTGAAGGGAGGGAGACAGCAGATGAGCGTTATACTGGTGGCGTGGAGGGGTTGAGACAGCAGATGAGCGTTATAATGGTGGAGTGAAGGGATGGAGACAGCATATGAGCGTTATGCTGATGGATTGGAGGGATGGAGGCAGAGGGATAGAGTGGAGGGATGGAGGCAGCAGATGAGCATTATACTGATGGAGTGAAGGGATGGAGGCAGAGGGATAGAGAAAGCAGGTATTTTACTTGTGGAGCACAGATGTCATACTATTGGTACTTATTTTCTTAAAAACATATCAACACATGTTCCTGGGTAAAAATGTTTTAATAATCTTCCCAGTTATAATTTCCACTTTTGATTTTTGATCAGACTGATCGATTTCATACAATGTATTAAGGTTTCAGAATATACTGTTCTCCTTAGAAATTTCCTATTATCAAGGATATATATATGCTATTACACCAAAATATTTTCACATAATTATTTAATAAAATACTCGTAAGAAGTGTTCAGTATAAAGTCAAATCATGTCAACTTTTTCTATAACACCATCCAACAGGTTATCTAAAAATATAAAAATGTACAAATCTATACACCCGAGACAGCTTAAAACCAGCTGGAATACTAGCATACTTCAATTTGCTGGAATACTGACATAATTCAATTTTCTGAAATACTAAAATTCTTCAACTAGCTGGAATACTTACAAACTTCAAAAAGCTGGAATACTAACATACTAATTTTCTGGAATACTGACATACCTTCAAAAAAGCCTGAATACTACCTTCAAAAAGCCTGAATACTGACATCTTTCAATTTGCTGAAATGCTGATATACATCAAAAAGCTATAATATTAACATACTTCAAATCATTGAAATACTGACATGCTTCAAAAACACCATTTATTTGGATTCTATATACTGGTACATAACATTATGTAACATTACTTTTACACTAGAAATGTTTGCTGCCATGTTCAATGTTCTAGTTCACCTTACCATGAAAATAATACTGCTACAAACATTTTCATTTATACGGTAATTAAAACAAACTGGGAAGTAGTTCAAGGTCGATAACAACTTACATTTGTAAATGCAATTACAAAGACCTACATATGCAAATAGCACTTACGCACTACATTTAGGGTTATAAAAAACAACACTGTGTAAAAACTGTTGGATATAATATTAAACTCTTGGTTATCATGTCAAAAGATTTAAGGAATGACCAAGATTCTGTTTTGGTATATACGGTATATAACGAAAAAAAATGTGCACTTTGCATAAATCCGCGAAGCTGTTTATGCAAAAAAGTGCACAATTCTTTTTCGGTATATACCGTATATACCAAAACAAAACCTTGGGCATTCTTTATAATTTAATTTTTAAAAAGTAGACAAACACTTTGTAATTGCACAGTTAAAGATTTATTTAATTTTTACGTAAACTAAACAATTGCGCTAAAAAAAAGCTGCGTTGTAATTTTGCATTCTGAAGTGTAAAAAGTAGTTCCATCATCAGTTGTTTTTCTTTTTAGGTATATACGATATATACCAAAACAAATATTATGGGGGAGATGGGCAAAATTAAATTATATACATATAGTTACCATTTAATGATAATAACAACCGAGAAATACAAAGTCATTGAACTTTAATTGAACTGATAAAATGTGTGCACTATAATGTGTTTCATGCTAATTTCATCTGCGGATCAGTATTATGTTAAGGAATAATTGCAATTTTGTTTCTTGCTTGCTTGTTTTATCTGCTATTCAATATATTATTAAAGTTTTAAAAGTGAAAACATGCAGCTACCTGGTTTATATGACCTTTTCATGTAAAATGTTGAAAATGACTGAAACATAGCAATACATATATAAAAAAATAACTTTTAAATTTCTCCAAAAATGAAAGTATGGCTCATGTCATAATTGAAAATAAATAAGGGTATTTTATTTTAGAAAACCAAATCATTAAATCACAGATTTGCTTATCAGGACATCACAGCTATATTCCCAACTCAAATACTGGTTAAACAAAACCTTTATCAGAGACCCATGTAATCTTACTACAGTAGTACAAGTCTATGATTCCAGGCTGATCCTTCCCACACTTGTGCATTCCAACACCTTTGTAACACAAGTGTATAATACAACATTCTGTATCACATGGTTAAAATACATCAATTAATTCAAACCCTGTCACTGTTTAAAGTTATGCGACACCATTATTATAGTTAAAACATCTTTCTGATAGTTATTGATTTTCACAAAAAATTGTACGCTCATATTAGGATGTAATAGAACTAGTACCACATTGTTCATAATTTTGCAGTCTGCAACAACAAAGGGCAAATACAATTGAAATGTTTTGTCATCTCAGATACATATTGTATCTATTAACCCATGAATTCCTCCTCACATTCTGGTTACATACATATTGTATCTATTAACCCATGAATTCCTCCTCACATACTGATTACATACATATTGTACATATCAACAAATGTTTTCCCTCCACACATACTGGTCATACACGTATTGTATCTATCAACAAATGATATCTATCCTTACATGCTGGTCATACATGTATGGTATCTATCAACACATGATCTCTATCCTCACATAATGGTCATACATGTTTTGTATCTATCAACACATAATATCTATCCTCACATGCTGGCCATACATGTATTGTATCTATAAACACATGAATTCCCTCCACACATGCTGGTCATACATGGATTGTATCTATTAACACATGAATTTCTCCTCACATACTGGTTACATACATATTGTGGGATGGAGACAGCAGATGAGTGTTATACTGGTGGAGTGGAGCGATGGAGGCAGCAGATGAGCGTTATACTGATGGAGTGGAGAGATGGAGGCAGCAGATGAGAGGTATACTGATGGAGTGGAGCGATGGAGGCACCAGATGAGCGTTATACTGGTTGAGTGGAGGGATGGAGACAGCAGTATACCGCTCATCTGCTGTCTCCAGCCCTCCACTCAACCAGTATAACGCTCATATGCTGCCTGTGAGGAGGGAATTCATGTATTAATAGATACAATATGTTTGTAACCAGCATGTGAGGAGGAATTCATGTATTAATAGATTCAATATGTATGTAACCAGTATGTGAGGATGAATTCATGTGTTAATAGATAGAATATGTATGTAACCAGTATGTGTGGAGGGAAAACATTTGTTGATATGTACAATATGTATGTAATCAGGATGTGAGGAGGGAATTCATGTATTAATAGATTCAATATGTATGTAACCAGTATGTGTGGAGGGAATTCATGGGTTGATAGATACAATACAGGTATGACCAGCATGTGAGGATAGATTTCATGTGATGATAGATACAATATGTATGTATCCAGTATGTCAGGAGGAATTCATGTGTTAATAGATAGAATATGTATGTAACCAGTATGTGTGGAGGAATTCATGTGTTAATAGATAGAATATGTATGTAACCAGTATGTGTGGAGGAAATTCTTTTATTAATAGATACAATATGTTTGTAACCAGCATGTGAGGAGGAATTCATGTATTAATAGATACAATATGTTTGTAACCAGTATGTGTGGAGGAAATTCTTTTATTAATAGATACAATATGTATCTGAGATGACAAAACATTTCAATTGTATTTGCCCTTTGTTGTTGCAGACGTATGACCAGCATGTGAGGTTAGATATCATGTGTTGAAAGATACAATACATGTATGACCAGTATTTGAGGATAGATATCATGTGTCAATAGATACAATACATGTATGGCCAGCATGTGAGGATAGATTTCATGTGATGATAGATACAATATGTATGTAACAAGTATGTGAGGAGGGAATTCATGTGTTGATAGATACATGAATTCCCTCCACACATACTGGTTACATACATACTGTATCTATTAACACATGATATCTATCCTCTCATGCTGGTCATACATGTATTTTATCTATCAACACATGAATTCCCTCCGCACATACTGGTCATACATGAATTGTCTCTATCAAAACATGATATCTATCCTCTCATACTGGTCATACATGTATTGTACCTATTAACACATGATATCTATCCTGACATACTGGTCATACATGTTTTGTATCTATCAACACATGAATTCCTCCTCACATGCTGGTTACAAACATATTGTAGCTATTAATACATGAATTTCCTCCTCACATACTGGTTACAAACATATTGTATCTATTAATCCATGAATTCCTCCTCACATGCTGGTTACAAACATATTGTATCTATTAATACATGAATTCTCTCCTCACATACTGGTTACAAACATATTGTAGCTATTAATACATGAATTTCCTCCTCACATACTGGTTACATACATACTGTATCTATTAACACAAGAATTCCTCCTCACATACTGGTTACAAACATATTGTAGCTATTAATACATGAATTTCCTCCTCACATTCTGGTTACATACATATTGTACCTATTAACACATGATATCTATCCTCACATACTGGTCATACATGTATTGTATCTATCAACAAATGATATCTATCCTCACATGCTGGTCATACATGTATTGTATCTATTAACACATGATATCTATCCTCACATGCTGGTCATACATGTATTGTATCTATCAACACATGAATTCCCTCCACACATACTGGTCATACATGTATTGTATCTATCAACACATGAATTCCCTCCACACATCCTGGATTAAATAATTAATGTAAAACAACTTGTATCAATTATCACAGGCATTTCTACCTAACATCATGGTTATACAAAGATTTATCTGTGAAAAAAAATCTACACTAGCAACCTCAATATACATCTTCTAATGTACAGGAAGAATCAATCACAATATGCTCAAGTGCACCAGTAAGTTTGATACTTATCTTTAATGGCCGACTAGTTTTGCATTTTGGTGCGTGGCTTCATCAGGACAATTTCAACAACAATTTCCCCACTGAAGTACTTTTTTTAGGGTTCAGTTTATATTGCGACGTATTATAATAATATCTATGGTTTTACAATAGACATGGGCAGATAACTCCTTATTCATGATAATAACCCCAACAATCATACTCTTCAACTAAAAAAGCTATTTTTTTCATTTTCATACTTTTGTTATTTGGAAATGCATTTGCATTTCACTAACTAACAACATATTGTTATCTGTCAATTGCTGGATATCTCACTAAGCCACAAGATCATCATAGATTCTCTTTCATCCAGGCAAATGCATTTTCATAGACCAATAGCATTATAGCACCTCCTGTAATAGAACAAGGAATAATGATATTAAGACTCCTTACCTAGCAATATCCAGCCTTATAATGTGTTTACTGATATAAGTACATCAGAGGATACAGTATACATTAATCACTGTTGTGGCTTGAACATACCAAAAATATAGTCTTTGATTTTAATTCATATGAATTAGAATCACTGTAAAAGTGCTGTGGATTTTTTTTGTCATTTACTAAATAAGTGCAAGAACAGATACTGCACCGGCTTTTCCCGGCAAAACATTTTCCACATGGCTAATTATTCGAAGACATGAACATTTTCCAATTTTAAAGTAGATTTGTGATAAGAAGTTTTCTATAAGACAATAACAAAAGGCACAAGAGGAATTTCTTATAGGTGTAATATGATAGGTATCTCTGTTCCCAGGTTGTTACAACATCCAAATATTACTAACCTGGTCCCAGTCTTAAAACCTTTGGCAGTAATCCTTTGTAAAGAGCTAAAAACCTAAAATAAAGAGGGCAGAGATAAGCTGAAATTAACTTTTATATTAAGTTAATGCATATTCCATGTTTTTGTTGACTAATTATTTAGCAATTATTTAATGGATATTTAATATAAAAGCAAGTTAACAAGACAAAAAACCAGACTGTTTGGTTTTGTTTTGTTTTGTTTAACGGCCTATGCCTCCATGTGTGTTGTGTAAGCGTGAAAGTGTGGGTGTATGCTGGGGACAGTAGATCAAGCTTCTTGTAAATGTACTTGTAACAAAGAATTTTTAATAATTTTTTATTTATTTTTATTTTTAAGTTGCAATAACTTGTTTTAAAACTGTTGTGAAATAAATAAAGTTCATATTTAAACATATAGCTGAGTTAGGGGCTACTCTTCAATATGATTATTCCTTCCAGATATACATTGCTAAATTACAACCAGGTTAAGCCTTTATCTACTCACCCTTCCTCTGCATATATTGTTCTAATTGTAGCAAAGCAGGTGCGGTACTTTATTTGGCCTGGGACTGGCTGGGGACCTTGGATTCTGCTCTTAGCCACATCAAAAGGAATGTTTATACAAGATGCCAGGACTCCCGAACATAATCCAATGGCAAATCTCCGCATCAGGTCGAGTTTCTTATCCTGGAAATGCATGAGCAAGTGATGGGTTTACATGCAAATTTAGGGGGAGGGGGCTTGCCCAATCCTAATCTAATTATATTTATTAAAAACATTAAATTAATTCAGATACCTGGTGATAAGCTTGAAGCTTTTAAGCAAGTAGTTTCATAATTGTATTTAATAAATTTCCTCATATTTGATAGACAATCCTTTGTCCTATTGTATAAGGTGGAAGTCAGTGAGGAGTATTTGACAAAGGGGAATAATCTGATAGTCTCCCTTTTATAAATATCTATAATTACAAATGTAAATGGTAGATATTGCCATACCTCATACTCCGGAACAATGGACTTCACGTTATGGTAGAAGCTGAAGTAGATCATGTTGAAGACTCCATGCCTGCCTAGGGTGGAGGTGAGACCCTTGTTCAACCCTCGCCTACCAAAACCATCCTGAGCAAGGATTTCCTTGGCAGTAGCAATGGTTCCTTTTTGCTGTAAGGGTATAGTAAGTGGTAGTATCATAATAAGTTTATACAAAATCAGTGGTATAGTAAGTAGTAGTATCATAGTAAGTTTATACAAAATCAGTGGTATAGAAAGTGGTAGTATCATAATAAGTTTATATAGTAAGTGGTAGTATCATAATAAGTTCATACAAAATCAGTGGTATAGTAAGTGGTAGTATCATAATAAGTTCATACAAAATCAGTGGTATAGTTAGTGGTATTATCATAATAAGTTTATACAAAATCAGTGGTATAGTAAGTGGTAGTATCATAATAAGTTTATATAGTAAGTGGTAGTATCATAATAAGTTCATACAAAATCAGTGCTATAGTTAGTGGTAGTATCATAATAAGTTCATACAAAATCAGTGGTATAGTAAGTGGTAGCATTATATTTAGATGATACAAAATCAGTGCTATAGTTAGTGGGAGTATTATAGTAAGTTTATACAAAATCAGAGGTATAGTTAGTGGTAGCATTATATTTAGATGATACAAAATCAGTGCTATAGTTAGTGGGAGTATTATAGTAAGTTTATACAAAATCAGAGGTATAGTTAGTGGTAGCATTATATTTAGATGATACAAAATCAGTGCTATAGTTAGTGGTAGAATCATAGTAAGTTCATACAAAATCAGTGCTATAGTTAGTGGTAGTATTATATTTAGATGATACAAAATCAGTGCTATAGTTAGTGGTAGTATTATAGTTAGTTTATACAAAATCAGTGCTATAGGTAGTGTTAGTATTATATTTAGAGGATACAAAATCAGTGCTATAGTTAGTGGGAGTATTATAGTAAGTTTATACCAAATCAGTGCTATAGTAAGTGGTAGTATTATAGTAAGTTTATCCCAAATCAGTGGTATAGTAAGTGGTAGTATTATGGTAAGTTTATACAAAATCAGTGGTATAGTTAGTGGCAGCATTATATTTAGATGATACAAAATCAGTGCTATAGTTAGTGGTAGAATCATAGTAAGTTCATACAAAATCAGTGCTATAGTTAGTGGTTGAATCATAGTAAGTTCATACAAAATCAGTGCTATAGTTAGTGGTTGAATCATAGTAAGTTCATACAAAATCAGTGGTATAGTTAGTGGTCCAAAATCAGTGGTATAGTTAGTGGTCCAAAATCAGTGGTATAGTTAGTGGTCCAAAATCAGTGGTATAGTTAGTGGTAGTATTATAGGAAGTTTATACAAAATCAGTGCTATAGGTAGTGTTAGTATTATATTTAGAGGATACAAAATCAGTGCTATAGTTAGTGGGAGTATTATAGTAAGTTTATACCAAACCAGTGGTATAGTTAGTGGTAGTATTATAGTAAGTTTATACAAAATCAGTGGTATAGTTAGTGGTAGCATTATATTTAGATATTACAAAATCAGTGCTATAGTAAGTGGTAGTATTATAGTTAGTTTATACAAAATCAGTGCTATAGTAAGTGGTAGTATTATAGTAAGTTTATACAAAATCAGTGGTATAGTAAGTGGTAGTATTATAGTAAGTTTATACAAAATCAGTGGTATAGTAAGTGGTAGTATTATAGTAAGTTTATACAAAATCAGTGGTATAGTAAGTGGTAGTATTATAGTAAGTTTATACAAAATCAGTGGTATAGTAAGTGGTAGTATTATAGTAAGTTTATACAAAATCAGTGGTATAGTAAGTGGTAGTATTATAGTAAGTTTATACAAAATCAGTGGTATAGTAAGTGGTAGTATTATAGTAAGTTTATACAAAATCAGTGGTATAGTAAGTGGTAGTATTATAGTAAGTTTATACAAAATCAGTGGTATAGTAAGTGGTAGTATTATAGTAAGTTTATACAAAATCAGTGGTATAGTAAGTGGTAGTATTATAGTAAGTTTATACAAAATCAGTGGTATAGTAAGTGGTAGTATTATAGTAAGTTTATACAAAATCAGTGGTATAGTAAGTGGTAGTATTATAGTAAGTTTATACAAAATCAGTGGTATAGTAAGTGGTAGTATTATAGTAAGTTTATACAAAATCAGTGGTATAGTAAGTGGTAGTATTATAGTAAGTTTATACAAAATCAGTGGTATAGTAAGTGGTAGTATTATAGTAAGTTTATACAAAATCAGTGGTATAGTAAGTGGTAGTATTATAGTAAGTTTATACAAAATCAGTGGTATAGTAAGTGGTAGTATTATAGTAAGTTTATACAAAATCAGTGGTATAGTAAGTGGTAGTATTATAGTAAGTTTATACAAAATCAGTGGTATAGTAAGTGGTAGTATTATAGTAAGTTTATACAAAATCAGTGGTATAGTAAGTGGTAGTATTATAGTAAGTTTATACAAAATCAGTGGTATAGTAAGTGGTAGTATTATAGTAAGTTTATACAAAATCAGTGGTATAGTAAGTGGTAGTATTATAGTAAGTTTATACAAAATCAGTGGTATAGTAAGTGGTAGTATTATAGTAAGTTTATACAAAATCAGTGGTATAGTAAGTGGTAGTATTATAGTAAGTTTATACAAAATCAGTGGTATAGTAAGTGGTAGTATTATAGTAAGTTTATACAAAATCAGTGGTATAGTAAGTGGTAGTATTATAGTAAGTTTATACAAAATCAGTGGTATAGTAAGTGGTAGTATTATAGTAAGTTTATACAAAATCAGTGGTATAGTAAGTGGTAGTATTATAGTAAGTTTATACAAAATCAGTGGTATAGTAAGTGGTAGTATTATAGTAAGTTTATACAAAATCAGTGGTATAGTAAGTGGTAGTATTATAGTAAGTTTATACAAAATCAGTGGTATAGTAAGTGGTAGTATTATAGTAAGTTTATACAAAATCAGTGGTATAGTAAGTGGTAGTATTATAGTAAGTTTATACAAAATCAGTGGTATAGTAAGTGGTAGTATTATAGTAAGTTTATACAAAATCAGTGGTATAGTAAGTGGTAGTATTATAGTAAGTTTATACAAAATCAGTGGTATAGTAAGTGGTAGTATTATAGTAAGTTTATACAAAATCAGTGGTATAGTAAGTGGTAGTATTATAGTAAGTTTATACAAAATCAGTGGTATAGTAAGTGGTAGTATTATAGTAAGTTTATACAAAATCAGTGGTATAGTAAGTGGTAGTATTATAGTAAGTTTATACAAAATCAGTGGTATAGTAAGTGGTAGTATTATAGTAAGTTTATACAAAATCAGTGGTATAGTAAGTGGTAGTATTATAGTAAGTTTATACAAAATCAGTGGTATAGTAAGTGGTAGTATTATAGTAAGTTTATACAAAATCAGTGGTATAGTAAGTGGTAGTATTATAGTAAGTTTATACAAAATCAGTGGTATAGTAAGTGGTAGTATTATAGTAAATTTATACAAAATCAGTGGTATAGTTAGTGGTAGTATTATAGTAAGTTTATACAAAATCAGTGGTATAGTTAGTGGTCCAAAATCAGTGGTATAGTTAGTGGTAGTATTATAGTAAGTTTATACCAAATCAGTGGTATAGTTAGTGGTAGTATAGTAAGTTTATACAAAAACAGTGGTATAGTTAGTGGTAGTATTATAGCAAGTTTATACAAAATCAGTGGTATAGTTAGTGGTAGTATTATAGTAAGTTTATACCAAATCAGTGGTATAGTTAGTGGTAGTATAGTAAGTTTATACAAAAACAGTGGTATAGTTAGTGGTAGTATTATAGCAAGTTTATACAAAATCAGTGGTATAGTTAGTGGTCCAAAATCAGTGGTATAGTTAGTGGTATATTCTTCATATTTTTCTATATCATCAGTGGTATAGTTAGTGGTAGTATTTTAGCAAGTTTATACAAAAGTGCATAATTTCACACTTTTATTTAAAACATAAAAACAAGATCATAGATGAGTGCAACAGCACTTTCCTTCAAAATATGATGACACTTGAAATGGAATTAAACAGATTTAATTTCAAGTAAATGTATTTGTTACAATGTAATTATTGTCGTGTTAAACATCCACCAGACTAGGGCGACACACGATACTACAGACATAAATTTCTGAATAAAAACAGTTCAAATATTAACCAGTCAAATAAATTTGAAGACTGCAGACTTACCTCTGTAAATAAGCTACGCTCTGACTGTAGTTTCACTTTCACAACTTCAAAGGGATTGATAACAAATGCTTCTGTTAGGCCTGAGCACAATCCTGCTAGTGTGAATATCTACAATTAAAATATCTAGACTTCAATTGAAACCCTTGAGGGGGGAGGGGTGTGTGTGTCTTGAACAGCTCAAGCTCAGTATAAGCAGAGTAGAGCTGATGCTAGTTAAATTATTTAATTTTACGGTAGATTTTTATCTTTATCTATAACACAAAACATACCATTAATTACAATTCTTCACAACTATACATTTCAATTTACAAATAATTCTTAAGAGGTTATTTATTAGATGGTTAAAGTAAAAGATGAATGGCACATATCATTAGTATACAATTATGTGTAAATTGACTTACAGCAGATTCCGGGAGGTAGGAACCATATGCAAAAATGCTTTTGTATTGTTCAAAAGTAAAGAACTTGACAGCTCTCTTTGGTGTCTCTGCCATCAAAGGAGGTAGAATGCCCTTGTAGAAGGAAAATGCTCTGTCACATACAAAATGCAAACATCAGTAGTGTGATTTATTTCTAAAAAGAATACAATTTTTAGTTTCAATGCCACAGAGTGGTATATACCTGTAATGGTCAACATAAATATTCTATTGTAATGTTTTTGTAACTGAAAAGCAAAAAAAAAAGAATCTTCAAAAAAACATTACAGATATACATGTAGTGCCACCATGATGTCACATTTTGATGACACCATCGGAAAAAAAATTGTTTGACATGACAAAGTCATTCATCTAACTGCTGTTTTTCCTGGATATTTGTGCTCTTGAAATATGGTCAAGATTTTTCTAAAAATATATTTCAATTCAACCATGTTTGTGAAAAGTAGTGCACATACTTCAAAATCAGTCCTAGCTTCAATCAAATGTGAACAGATATCAGCAATTTATTCTTCATATTTTTCTATATCATTTGTTACATTATGTTTCTATTGGTTAAAAACCTAGCTAAAAAGTGTTATTTTGTGCTTTTTGTTATTTCACCATGACTGCAGTCAAATCTAACACCTGTATTTAAATTATTTTCTATATTTCACTGCATGATAATGTATTAAAGGTATGCATCAATGTACAGTTGAGCTGCCCTCATCAATTCAACTAGTGTTTTGGGAAGCAAAGTGTCTGCCTACAATACCCTTTGATATGTAGTCATTACTCCAGAATGAACATGACCAATCTCTGCTTGGCACACTTACCCTTCTTGTCTATACATCTTACGGAAACAGTCTGTAAGTGAGGTGTATCTATTTGGGTCTTCAGGCCCACGTTGAATCTGGAATCTTGTTTTAATCAAATCCAGAGGATGCATGATTGATACTTCTACAAAACCTTTTAAAAAAAACATCATTGACAATAATTATAAAATGTTTTCATTATGATTATGTTTAACCTTTCCTATTAGTTGTATTTTTTATCCTTATATGTCTACAGCTTAACTTTTTAAGCAGCATATCTGTCTACAGTGAGGATGTGAATCTGATACTTTGCATAAGTGATAAAAATGTCACCAAAACCTAAATATCTATGCAACCAGTTAAGCATTTTATTAACAAAATTTAGGGTCATAATATAATTTGACCTTTGATAACACTGCTTAGACCTTGGCCTTGGGAGTACAGAACTCTGCCTTCTGATTGATTGGCAATGTGTTGCATACAACATTTGGGTCTGTTGTCTGACAAGTCAAAGTCACTGCAATGGAGTCAGGTCAAATCACCGAGATACTTGCCAGTCTATATCATTTTGTAAGGTATTACAATGCATTCTCGAATTGCCCAGTGATAACGTTTCTTCTATGAAATGCATGCAAAACTCTTCTCTGCAGTCTTCATTCAGGGGAAATAACTCCTTAAATTGCAATTTTGAGGGGAACCAAATATTAATAAAGTAATGTTCTGGAGTGGAACAAGCATCGAGAGATCTGTATAGAATGAATATTGTGCTATATTTTTGACACAAGGATGAAAATTGTATCGTTGCATTTTTCGACGATAAAAGCAGCATACGCCTCCTTAATAAACGGGGACCTAAGTTACACGACAAAGCTTACAGCAGTCAATAATTACCTGCACAACCTCCAGCAGAAAATTGCATAAGAGCCAAGACATAAGGACTCCTTGCAGGAGTGCTCGTTGTGGTGGTCGTCATTGCGTGCTTCAGCTGTAAAATAACGTCTATTAAACTACTAAAAACGTGTTCCTTCTGCTACTTTGACCGTAAGGTTTGAGCCTCAGGGATCATACGATGACATATGTGGTTTAAGTGTCCACAATTTTGCAATGTATTACTAAGTTTCGATTTTTTTTAAGTATATGTATCTTTAATAATATTGAAGGCTTAGACAGAAGGATATGATTTTGTTGTATTATCAAAATATTTTTTATATATTATGCTGTATTTATGGAAACTGATTTCTCCCCAAATCTTGCCTTTCTGATGTTTGAGCTTTCTGGTAGCTATCATTTAAGAAGGTAAACATATGAAAGACCCAGATACCCCGGACCCAGCTGCCACATAAAGGTGATTTCAATAGTTAGTGATAATGTTTGCTAACCCTATAGCTTATGTGCAGTAATATTTGCAAGTTATTTTAAGTTAAACAACACCATAACACAAGCCAGCATCAACTCAGGTGCAAAATGGTGAACCAATTTGAATAGTTTTTACAGAACTCAAGTAACAAGACAGCTGTATCGACCTTCATGCGTACGCGTGACGATACACTGCAGTATATTACAGAAAATCTAATTCTAATTACAGTGTCTTATCTGTCTTGAATTATTGATAATTATATTTTACCTTGTGCATTCAGTCATGATTGTGCATTTTAAAAAACCCTATTAAAATGATTTTTTTTTAGATGGGTGACATGTTTCTTCAGTGCTATATTTACTGTAACATTATTAATTTATGATCATTATTTAACTATTGCAGAAGACTATGGCATTGCTGGGTATATGTCGGCAGTTTGCCTCTTTGTCTGTGAGATGTCTTCCTAAAGTAACACAGCACTTGCAAGTCAAGACTGGTAAAATGTCAGGTAAAATAATTGATATAAATTTTGTCTTGCTTATTGCATATGTATGGTATATATATATGTAGTATAAAATAACAAACACAAGACTGACTGCTGGGCTTTTCTGCCTTCTTTGGCACTTCTTCGGGTGGACTCATGTATACAGTATTAGTCAGCATTTGTTACATGACATCATAAACAATACCAGGACAGAGGAAGAATGTGCAGCTGTTGCCAGGAATCCATCTAGAATTCAGATCATAGTCAAGCCTGTTTATTCAATCCTTATTAAGTGTGGTACTGTAACTTGAGATGGAAAAATACACGGCTAGACCGAGGTTCGAACCCAATACCCTCCAAACTCAAGTCAGACGCTCTACCAAACACTATACTAATTGAGCTTCCTGGTTGCCTATGATTGACCCAGTCCATATACTCCTGCATTCGTTTTCTAAGTCTTCGACCCAAAAACACAACTATTTACAACCCAGGTTTGGGTATCCCCTTGCCAAGGACACACCATATACTTGAGACAAATGTTGGTCACAGGCACCACTGTTACAGGAGATGGAAAATGCATGGCCAGACCGGGGTTCGAACCCTGGGACCCTCGAAATTTAGGAGGATGCTCTACCAATTGAGCTTCATGGTCACCAACGAACGACCCAGTCCAGTTCCGCTACAGTACCAAACAAATATTTAAGGTCCCATATATGTTGAAGAAGGGAGGAGTTTAGTGGATTTAGACTGTCGCCAAGTCAATCACTGTTTATTGGATAGCTCATGATCAAAGTGTCCATATAGTGCTCAGGAGTTTTTGGTCCTAATAATATTCTGGCATGTTTTCAATGTTGTATACATGATATTTCCATTCCTTGTCAATTGTAAATGCGTTGGAAAAGTATCAATTATCAATTCATATTAGGCTAAAATTTAAAGTGTATATATGGCAGGCAGGTGTCACAAATTTATGGTTAATTGCTACTGGTTAGCTCAAAACCTACTGTCTTTTCCCATGCATAAAGAAAGAAGTGATGCCAGTTTTTATTTCTGGATAATTCTATGTATGAAATTAAACAAACTATTACTGGTTTTTTTGTGTCTTAAATTTGTTGATAAAATGCTTTTCTTTTGAATTTTAGGAACATTAATAAATTCTGCCTCTGGAAGTGCTACATGGCGAAGTCTCTCAACCCTGATATCAAGGAACAATACAAGCATAGGTGTTCGTAGCATATGTGGGAAACATCACCTTCCACAGATATCATTACAGCGTGATATGACATTAGGCCAGTTACACAGACGAGGAAAACTAAAGCCAAGGAAGAAGAAATTTGGCATACTTGGTGGAAATGCTTATAAAAGAGGCCTAGTTTTAAAAGCCATTGTCAAAAAGCCAAAGAAACCCAATTCTGCTTCCAGAAAATGTGTGCGAGTGAAGCTTAGTAATGGAATTGAAACCACAGCATATGTTCCTTATGAGGGTCACAACTTACAAGAGCACAGCATAGTTCTACTCAAAGGAGGCAGACTACAAGATGTTCCGGGTGTAAAATTATGTTGTGTACGTGGGAAATATGACTTGCCACATGTCATCAAAAAGAAAAAAGCTTAATTATGTGTGTGATATGTCCTGATATGCTCCACTTCTTCAAAAATAAATCTGTTTTCTATTTCCTGTTTTTTTATTTGTTTTTGTTTGAATCTACAAAATGTTCCTGATGTTCAAGATGCTTCTTTTGGACATATTCAGATACTATCTTCCAAATATAGAGAGAGCTTGGGGAACATTTGCAAAAGCGCTTAGAGTGTCACATTAGAAAATTAGAAAGAAGTTTTCACACCCATTGTTATCTGGTGATATGCAATTTATTTTTCATTTTTATGTTTTTCATGGGGAAGCAAGGAATATTAGCTAGCTTACAGTTTCCTAGTTTGGAAGCAAATTTTTATTCCTACTTGTCTTCCTGCATTGTCATGTATCTGTCATCTGTTGTCTGTTAACAATTAACGTTTTCCACTTTTACTTAAGAACCACGGTAGTAATTGACGCTGAACCTGGTATAAATGTTTCTTAACAGGCTCTGTGACCAAGTGTTGTTACTTTTCATGCCACACTGAAAATCAAAGATCAAAGTTTTTTAAAAGTTGGTGTAAAATTTTACCTCTGTAAGCTGGAAGTGAGTTATCTTTTTTCAAGATTAACTTGTAACATGGGCTTCACAGATATCCCTAAAAAAGGTTGTCAAGATAACCTCCAGAAATTACGCATATGCTGTATTTAAAACTTGGCCATAATAGGGTTGAAATCTTATAGAGATCCATTATGTACCTACCCGGTATATACAAAGTTTGATGCTACTTCATGAAACCATAGCTGAGATATGCTCTAAAAACGTGTATAACACAGTATCATAGTACTTAAGGTCAAGGTCAAAGGTTCATTTGTTTGTCCTCTATGTTTTGTTAACACTTAACAGCTATTGCCATATATTTAAGGACAAGTCAGGTTTAGGTGGTAGAGAAAAAACGTAGAAACGGGAAATACCAGCAACCTGCAGCAAGTACCTGGCGACTGCCCCACACCCAATAGTTGAGGGCAAGTGATCATAGACTGTTGGATGCATTAACCACTTGGCCAGTGCAGCCCCACCAAAGGTTAAGAGGTCACAGTGACCTTATTTTATGAGTAATGATGCAACACACCACCTTCCTCTGATATAGCTATATACAAAGTTTGATGCACCTCATGAAACAGTGCCAAGATATGCTCTGGAAACGGGTCGGCACAAAGCTAATACTAAATACCCCTGACTTGGTGGAGGCAGCTTAATAACAAGAGATCAAAGAGGGATCTTGGCGCCAACCATTGAATCATCTTCATTAGTTTGTCAGTTTGATCTTTTTAGCCCACCATCATCTGATGGTGGGCTATTTAAATCACCCTGCGTCCGTGGTCTGTCTGTTGTCCGTTGTCCGTTGTCCGTCGTCCGTCCGTAAACAATTCTTGTTAACGGTATTTCTCAAGAAGTACCAGAGGGATCTTTCTCAAATTTTATATGTAGGTTCCCCTTGGTTCTTAGCTGTGCAGGGCAACTTTTGAGATTGATCGTATAAATAACATGGCCGACAGGTAGTCATCTTGGATTTTGATAGTGAAAGTTTGTTATCGCTATTTCTCGGGTAGTATCAGAGGGATCTTTCTCAAATTTTATATGCAGGTTCCTCTTGGTCCTTAGCTGTGCAGGGCAACTTTTGAGATTGATCGGATCCATAACATGGCCGACAGGTAGTCATCTTGGATTTTGGTAGTGAAAGCTTGTTAGCGCTATTTCTCGGGTAGTATCAGAGGGATCTTTCTCAAATTTTATATGTAGGTTCCCCTTGGTTCTTAGCTGTGCAGGGCACTTTTTGAGACTGATCGGATAAACAACATGGCCGACAGGCAGCCATCTTTGATTTTGATAGTGAAAGTTTGTTATCGCTATTTCTCGGGTAGTATCAGAGGGATCTTTCTCAAATTTTATATGCAGGTTCCTCTTGGTCCGTAGCTGTGCAGGGCAACTTTTGAGACTGAACGGATAAACAACATGGCCGACAGGCAGCCATCTTTGATTTTGATATTGAAAGTTTGTTATCGCTATTTCTCGGGTAGTTTCAGAGGGATCTTTCTCAAATTTTATATGCAGGTTCCTCTTGGTCCGTAGCTGTGCAGGGCAACTTTTGAGATTGATCGTATAAATAACATGGCCGACAGGTAGTCATCTTGGATTTTGATAGTGAAAGTTTGTTATCGCTATTTCTCGGGAAGTAATGGAGGGATCTTTCTTAAATTTTAAATGTGATTCCCCTTGATCCCTCGTTTTGTATGTTATATTTTGAGACTGATCATAAAAACAAAATGGATTAAAAGAAGAAATAAACAGATCTTTCTCATATTGCAATGATCGATTCTATTTCTTTCACATTAAGTACTGTACTAGTAAATATGTAAAATGACAAACTCACTTTGAAGGTTGGCTTTCATGCACATCAGTACTAAGTTTAGATCAAAAGTTACCTCAAGGTGCAATTACTGTTAACATGACTCGATCAAACAGATAAGAGGGAAGAAGAGAAAAGATCGAACTAACAAAGAAATAATGAAGATGGTACAAAGGTGGGCGCCAAGATCCCTCTGGGATCTCTTGTTTCTTATTAGTTTGATCAAATTATGTAAACAGTAAATGCCATCGTTTCACATATTTACTAGTACAGTTGTTTAAATGTAAGAGAAATAGATCTGATCAATAGAATATTAGAAAGATCTCATCAGTACTTCCTGTGGCCATCTTGTTTGTATGATCACTCTCCAAAATAAACATGCACAACTACAGATCAAGTGGAACCTACTTTTAAATTTGAGAAAGATCCCTCCAGAACTTCTCGGGAAACAGCTGTAACAAACATTCACTGTCAAAATCAGAGATGGCCACCTGTTGGCCATTTCGTTTATCTGATCAGTCTCAAAAGTAAATATGCACAACAACAGACCAAGCTAGGGTACATAAATATGCAAAATTGAGAAAGATCCCTCAAACTCTTCATGAGAACATTCACTGTCAAAATCCAAGATAGCCACCTGTTGGCCATTTTGCTTATACCATCAGTTTCAAAAGTAAATATGCACAACAACAGACCAAGGGGAACCTACAAATCAAATATGAGAAAGATCCCTCCAGAACTTCCTGAGAAATAGCGATAACAAACATTCACTGTCAAAAATCCAAGATGGCAGTCTGTCCGCAATTTTGTTCATCCGATCAGTCTATGCAGACCAAGGGGAACCTACATCTCAAATTTTAGAAAGATCCCTCTTGCACCTTCTGAGAAATGGCGATAACAAGAATTGTTAAAGGACAGACCACGGACGAATGGTGATTTGAATAGTACACCATCAGATGATGGTAGGCTAAAAATAGGGAGCTATAGTTGCAGCATCATGGCCCTTAGCTTTTGACCAGATGAGCTTATTCAAATGTTGTATATTATTATAATAAACAACACTGCAGAAGGATAAACTCATGGGCAATGCGACCATTAATTATAATCCCTACTGAGTGGAGGCCTATTATAATTACATCTGTCTGTCAGTTGTTCAAGGAAGATTTTCCTTGGAAAGAATACTGCATGTATTCCTTATTGGTCTTGCTTGCATTTTACTTACATGTAACATCAAGCTTTACAAGTGAGTAGCGTACCAATTCAATTGATAATTAAGCTTTGAAGCCAGTGGACTGGCCTTTAAGAAATGACACAAGGCAATAATCAGAACAAGACCGTTTATTTCCCTTCCAGGATAATTCCTCTGACATAAACTACCAACTTATTTGTAAAAAAACAATGTGTACAACTGTTAATAATTATAAACTCTTCACATGAACTGTAAAATACAACTAAAACCAAATCATTGGTTTCTTGTCAATGTGGGTGTACAGGGAAATCCTATTTTCTTGTAGGTAATCAGTCATGGATGGTTATTTGGCAGGTGACAGATTTCATTTCATGATAGTTTTATATACAATACTTAGGAAGTCTGCTTCAAGCACACCTTCCAACAGCTATAAAGTTTGTAATTGAGCAAAGATAAATTGCAGTACCAATTCTTTGATTTACACAGAATAAAGCACTTCAGTAGTACCAAGTACATGATCAAGATTCTTCATTACCAAACAATTTAATTAATATCAACAGGTGAAGTGTGTTCAATTCTCTAGATCATTTTGGCAACAAGACTTTTTCTTCATCTTAAAGGGGAAGGATGTTTTCAATACTATTTTTCAAACATGATTTAGTTAATTTCCTATTTCGACCCTCCCTTACTTGAACTTCATGTCATTTAATTTTAGAATTAAAGACAGATGTTCACTAAGGCAACCATCAAAATCCCTAAACTGACAAATGTATATTGAACTTCATGTACCCAGTACAATATGATATAAATATGTGAAATATTTGCCTATTTGCCAAAAAGAAAATAAGTCACCACCCGTATTTTAACTTTTCTTTAAATGATTATGTTTGGGCAAATAAAATAACAGTAACATACAAGCTTTAATAGATCAAGATTTCCTCCACTTCCAGTACAACTGTATTTTTAATGTTTGTCTACAATGCTGGTAATGTATTACAGGTTCCGTAAAGGCTTGAAAAGTTCTTCAAATAGAATGTACCTAAACAAATTCTATATGACCTGCCCTATATATCATGTATTTTACATCAGCATTTTTCTATTTCTAAGTTTAACTTTTTCCTGTAAATTTGATGGAGAAAAAGTACATGACTTTAATATTTCTTGAAATATTTCTGTGTTTTCCAAAAAAATAATTCGTAATCTTTTAAAAAGTTCTAATTCCTGTCTCAACCCTGTGGTAACATTGGCATTATATGACGAAACCGGCACTACAGTAAACTAATGTGACATTACATTATATTGGCACTGTTGTACAATCCTGCCATTGTATACACTGGTAGCAAATCAAGTCTTTAAAAACCCCTTTGACTGTACACACACATACTGTAACACTAAAGAAGTTTACATTGGAATTTCATTATTAAATTCTCTAAAATACAAAACAATGTAACAAAATATTAACACTTCAGTTTCTTCCAGAACTTGGTTATAAACTTTCAACTTCAACACAACAAGGAACAATTTGTACAAAATGTGTTATATTACAGTTCAACTGTCAATCCAGTCCAACCGTCCAACAACAGGTTTGTCCACACAGGGATTCATGAAATGTGTATTTTTATACGGGTATACATAAAATTGGGTTAAGTTAAAAAGTCTTTGCTTTGATGTCACTATATAGCTTTCAATGTCGAGAAAAGATGTTATAAAAGCAAACAAACTTTTATTAAAAGGCAATAATTCATAATGTACTCCTGCTGACAAATATAAGATATAAAATTGATACAATCAGTTTCTTCCGTAATTGATTAATCATGTCTTTGAGAACTTTTCAAAAGATGACTCATTGTAATACAAAGTAAAAGTTATAAATAGTACGTATTTAGAAATACTTATTAAAATTAAATACAAATAGTTTAGGCCTGCAGCTCGCCAGTTCAACAGTGTAATCTAATTCATAAATATTTAACAAAGTTTGTAGACCCTAAAAAGCCTTCTGACTTCAGTCTTACAATGACACTTTTCATGACAGATATATAACATAAGAAGCCTTTCACAGTTTTTGTCACATGCTAGAAACTGGTAATGATAGCCAATACTTTGCTTACACAATTTCTAAAATATCATTTTTTTTACTAAAATTAGTATTAAATAGATCAATACATCATGGATGTATACAATTGAAGTCTATCAAAATGAAAATCACTACATTCTAATTTTGTCACTGAATGGTCACAATAATAGAAAAAATAGCTTTACATAAAATATTTTATGTATCAACATATCATTTAAACTGTAATTTATAGAAAACCATGCTCTATAAATTTACGTATGATAAATATGTTTTAGCTTTGCAACTTTGCTTTTCTACTTAAAATGAGTTCTTTCCACAACTGGTAGTTCTAAGGAAGTATGGAAAGCTGAAAGCTGGACATGAAGGCTACAGTGTGCGAGGAAGTAAATATACAGGAAGCATGCTCTCAATATTAAACACTTGTTAACAAGGCCCATCAGCACTGCATGAAAAGTCAATAAACAATTTGTTTGAAATATTATCATCATAGGAAAACGATATATTATCATCATAGGAAAACGAAATATTATCATTATAGGAAAACGAAATTTAAATCAAATTTACTAGTAACACAACAGCACTAGACATCAAATAGACATGCCTTCCCCACTCGAATCCATAACAGATGGTAAGGTTTAATTTACAACAGTTTATAACAGTATTCAAAACTCAAGACGGAATCAGCTTCAATATTAAATACAATTAACAGCAGATATACACTCAGTTGCTGATAGTAGTTGAATGGGTTTTTTGAAGTTATATGTGCATTTTATTACAAAATGTACAAACAAACCAAAAAATTGTCTAGAATTTGTCACTGGTAGCAGATTTCTCCACGATAGTAATTAGACACTGCATTGGTACAGGAAGGAAAATTACAAGCACTGCATTACTACAGCAAGGAAAATTACAAGCACTGCATTACTACAGCAAGGAAAATACAAACTTAACATAAGCCATCATAACTTTGATGTAAATAGTTCCTACAACATTACCACTGGTGTTATAGAATATCTCTTAATGAAATGTACATCTTGTGTAACAACTTGTTCTCCTAAAATCTATATATGTGATATAATATTACTCTGAGTGCAATAGTTACAACCAAAGATAGCCTCTATGTACCTCTATAAAATAAGTGATATTGTACATTTAGGCTAATGGTTGTTTGGTCTCTGTACCGGCAGAGATACCAAAACACATGAAACACTTTAACATGACAACAACGGCACTTGTATTGACCATGGCACAAGACAAATTAAAGATGACCAAAGAATCATGCATATGTTCCTTAAAACATTCAACATGACATCAGGTACCTGGATCAATGCCTGTGCTACCGACTGTTCTTGATCCTATAATGATATAACACGTCCAAAACATGCCTCGAATTACACAACATACGTGACACAACTTACATGACAGTGACAACAGTCACACCACACACACTTAGCTTTCACACATACAAGCCACATTTTTAACAAATCCCATCGCTTATATATTTAAGAAACGACACAAGAAATTCCTTAAATAAGTCACAAAATAGACAGACATCTTTTGTACAATGGCATGACATCCCTTGTGCAAACTGACAGATATCTTGTACAAACCTTGACGTGTCATCCTTTGTACAAATGATATTCCCTTGTACAATGACAAAGTACTCCTTGTACAAACAGTTTCTCTTGTACAAACCATACCACAACATCACTATACAGTCCCTCTATTTGAAATATTATCATTTCCCTTCAAGGGCCTTGTACAAACCATGACATGACATTTCTTAGAAAAACCATGACATCTCTTGCACAAATGACATGACGCCACATCCCTTGCACCAACCATTATGTGATATCCCTTGTACAATGACTTGACATTGGCTTTAATATAAAGAAGGTTCCCAGAACAAAATTAAGAAACAAACACTGAGGATTGACATTATGGTAAGGCAAAAACAAACATGTTTCTTGTTTCTGCTTGAAAAAAAATTGGGTCGTTTAATAGATAGGCATTTTTTTTAATTTTTGAAAATATTTTTACAATGCTTATATATAGAGCAGGAGTTCTGACTTAAACAGTGCATATCAGAGTTCTGACTTTAACTGTGAATATCATTAAATGCCAGTAAAAAATTTAGGGTATGCACAAAAAGCTAGGGTCGGTAGGGAAACCGGAAACACATTATTTTTGGCCTAAGCCTAGATGATCAGCATCAAATACATCCACTATCAGGTTTATCTGAAACTGTGTTGAATCAAAGTCTGATGTTAACTGTGTTGAATCAAAGTCTGATGTTTTAGCTTCATTACAGATTAATACAGTATCATAGATATGAAATCAAACGAAAAGATATTTAACCAAGGTTAACCAAAGTTGACAGTAACAAGACACAAGTTTTGGTCAGAAAAACAAAAGGTTAGACAGAATGCTGTGTTTGCTCATTAAAAATGTTGTCCAGATTGACCTGTGACCAAACTCTAAATATATCAAATTTGTCGGGAAATATATTGAATAAAACATGTCTAACAGTCATAAAGGGCTTGACAATTTCTAAAGTCATGTCCTCATAATTATGGCATATCGTATGAAAAATTACAATTATCGGATACAAAATTACTGGCCAGGGTACCTTCATTCAAGAGAAAATTAACAAAACTGACTTCTTTTACTCACTGGTACACACAACACATTAGAAAAGGCATGATGTTCCTCCTCTCATTTGGACTAAATCTATGTTCATGCACATGAACACACATGAATATAATACGGGTTAAAAGAGTGTCTTAGACACTATAGTAATGAATGCATGTGTACAAGGCTGCCTACCATAACCATGATATACTGCACCTACTTGGTTGATTTGTGCATGCATAGATTTTGGCAGAACCTTTCAGTTAACATAATTTTTATGACAAAAGGCACTGTGTGAATTTGTTACTGACAAGTAATAAAGCAATGATCACAGGTAACTCATTTAGTTAAATAATAAACACTTAATATACATCATACACAGACATAACCAAGATAGGTATCAGATCCGGCTGTAACCATAATATTTCTCTTATACATTAAACTAAAATCTAAAATTAAACAGCAAAACATTCTATGTTTTATAAAATTAAATAAACATTACATCTGAGTTTGGAAAAATATGAAAAAGCTTGATATGAAAAAATCAACAAATCAAATAACAACATAAAATATAAGTGAAAACTGAACACGCAACAATCACAAGATCATACAGGCTAGGTACTTACACAGATATCAGTAGTGGTAGGAAATATCTTGGTGTGGATTCAATTGAGTGTAAATTACAAAAAAAAAATAAAAAAATATGGAAGAAAAAAATGTAAAGATGACAAAACACAGGCAATAAAACAATGGTTGGTTAAGATGGCCACACATCTGACAGAGAAATAACACATGTACTCCGACACACCACAGCAGACCAAGCAAATATTCATACACATTGGCAATCCTGTCTTCATGGGTTTGACCCTATATCCTTACTTGGATGTATCAAAACATGCTCCTTAACTTAAACTCACAAATGTAACTCATACAGAACTAAATCAAGTCTGTAAATGTGCCTTCCTGCTGCTCATCACCCCTCCTTTTTCAAAATCCTGAACTTTTATCTCCAGAATCTGAAAAAAATTGATGCATTTTCTCTATTTAATGTTTTATGAAACTTGACCAAAACTTGATTCATTACCAGGCTCCGATCTTACAACAGAACATATAGATTTGACCCCAAAACACCTCTTGTTCCTTTCTAAAATGTAGTTATGCCTGTCTGATCATTTAAATTATAAAACTAGACACCATGCTTTTAATTTTTGTATAAGGTCATCAAGACTTTACAATGCTGACAGTGGCAACCAGATATCTGATATGGTTCTTTATATTTTGTTACTACATTTTATATTAGGCTTTATAACATATGGAAAGTTTCAAGCCAGGTTGACCTTGTAAAATGGCTCATCTCAGAAAAAGTGGGATTTCTTTCTTACATAAATACCAGGTAAGATTTTAATATTGATAAGCAGCCATTCAAAAATCATGAATATTCAAAATCTCGTCTAAGAGGGCAGAGAATTTTTTCATACCTGACCCTCCAAGGGCATGTTCTGTTACACTCATGCACAAAGAATCCAGTTGAGCATAATTCTCAGCACTGTCTGCATTAGATTCACAATCTGAAAAGAAGAACAGGTTTCTATTGAATGGCATGTTTGACCGGAGACTTGCAACTTGATATACAGAACTGGGATGTAGAGATATCTTCTGATTTACCAGCACGTATCTTGTTTAACTGTAATTCTAATAACCCGCAAAAATTTGAAACTTGAAACAAACATCTTGCAGACCTTTGTGTCTATCAAGCAGACTTGCATATATATACCCTTGCTGAATAAATGATGTATTTGTACTTGTAGTCTATTGAAAATTTCATAACTATAGTTTTAATATAGAATTTTGTTAAATTGATTTTACCGGTACAATGTATACATGTATTAACTGAAAATTTGGAACCTGGTCAACTGAAAATTTGAAGAAAAGAATTAATATAAGCATGAACTTCTTTTTAATGCCTACAAAACCAATTTTCAATTTCAAAAAATGATATGCTAATTTTGAACATATATTTTGTTTAAACTAATACAGCAAGACCTGGCCACAGATGAACAAATCTATAATAAAGACATGCTTCTTCCATTTCCTAGGTTCAACGCAAGTTACAAACCACAAAAAAAGGAGGAGTGAAAACATATTTCACCTGTATTTTAGGCCATATAACTGATAAAGAATTACCCACCTGACACAGCAAAACCAAGATTTGGAGACCTAAGAGGAGCAGAGTGGGTTCTTGTCACCTGCTGCTTGCCCTGAAATATTAAAACATCATTTGTATACTATTTTTTCTTCTTTTTCGATTCTTCTTTTTTTTTTAACATAATTGAAATCAATTTTGATTTTTGACTATTTTGTTTGTCTTCACCTGAGGAAACATGACTAGTTGCTGATCCTTGTGTTGATAATAGCAAATGCTCACAGAAGGTTTTTTGTTCACATGTTACACTTAAAAAAATCAATCAATTCACAACCAATGATGTTATCGTTATTTCAAATTACCTCACTGAATTGTGGTCTGGAGAAGAGTGCTGGATTGAGAGAAGTGTTGCGAGTCAGTGGAATGTGACCACTAGTCGTGCCCCCCACTATAGACCTCTTGGCTCCAAAACTCCATTGTGTTGTTGTACGAGGCTGACGTGGAACCTTCTGCGCAAGACCCCCACGCAATGAGGCTCCAAGAGGAAACGTATTGCCCCATCTTAATTAAATGACAAAAATAGGCTTTACTGACTTTGAAATATTTTTAACTTTAAATTAGAGCTGGAATGATTTACTACCAGAACAGTATACATGTATACATGTGTCAATGTATTTGATATCTGTAAACTATTGGTATATCTCGATACTATTGGTATACTTCTATACAAGGATTTCATAACATTTCGCAAAATGTTCACAGATCATGTCCCAGTGGGGCTATACAGACCAAAGTTTGCCCGGTGGTACTGCTTACCCTGGTTTTGGTTTCCTATCCATACTATATTTGAGTGGTGGTTGATATATTCTCTGCATTTCTTGCTTCCAAGTGGACAATAACTTTTTCTGTCTATATGTAAAGGCCTAAAAAATAAAAAATGTTTCATACATGAACTATGTTTTGTGTCAAAAATCTGGCAGCTCATGTTCATATCACCCATGCTTAACAGAGAGTTTCTATATTGTTCTATTGTCTAAATGATGATGTCATGATTGCTGGACCTCTGACAACTTGTTTACCCTAGTTTATAACGCCCACCCTAAACCCTTTCTGGGCAAATTTCAGAGAGCAACTTTGTAACAAGGCATCACAAGAGATATATATCCTCTAGCATAATGGATTGTGTACCAATGGAGAGTCCAAAACCATTTTCTGTAAATATATATATTTTAAGTAACAATGAACTTGACATTGGACTGGTGATAACACAATACTCACTTATGTTAAACATGTGTTAAGAGTTATGAAAAGCTGTTAAGACATTAAGTCGCTACAGTGATACAGGTAAACTGTGTTGAATTATATTTTTAGTAATATTAAACTTAATCTTTGATCGACGATGCTCATCAAGGCAAATATAACTTTCATTTCATGAGAAATATGGCCGCAAGAATGAGTTTAACTCTTTCACCCCTATGTAACTTTAGTAGACTCTGTCATGCATTGATATGGATGAGTCCATTATGGTCTACAGTGGTGAAAGGGTTAATGACATAATTTTATTATTAGCAACAGCAACCTTGATTTTTGACAAATGGCTCCCATCAAGACAAACAGGAGTTTCATGAAAATCCGTTGAGACAAATGAGTATTAGACTGATGATAAGTATATAATAGTGAAATCATATTTTAGTAACAGTGACCTTCTCAACTCTATTGATGTTCTTTCAAACGTGTCCAAGGCAAACATGACTGAAGTTTCATATAAATCAGTCAAGAAATGCAGCTGCTAGACTATTGACAGCGAGTTGGGTGGTGTAATTATATCTGAAGTAAGTAACATTAGACATTTAATTGATAAAACCCATTTCAAACATGTCAAAGTTATATCTTAGCCAAATCAAATTTCATGAAAAATGGTAAATATGTAGTACTAGAGTGATTCCTAAGGATTACTATATAAACATAGGACTACATACTGACAGGCTGAATGCGTATCTCCTCAAACTTTGTTTTTTTAGTTTTGCTTTACATGACAAAATAAATCAAAATCAAAATAAATAGAAACTTATTCAGTCCCCTTTGTTATGACTTTAATATCAAGCTGATATTCATAGTCCATAGTTGAAGGCTCTTGAAAGATGTGTAGTAACATCATTTTACCGATCAAAGAATATGATATGAAATGTAAAATTACCTCATGATTTATACACTTGTCGATGAGGCTGAGGTAGAGGTTAAAGCATTCATCATCTGGACGGCTGGCCGTCAGCAACTGTGTGCAAACTGAAATAGACCAAACACAGTGTAATGACTCGGAGACACTGCTACGTCCTGACAATCACCTATACCAACATCTCAGCAGAGAGAAACTAACACTAGTCTCCCAGTCAGAGACCAGTAGATTTCAGCAAGGACTAGTGAATCACCGAACCTAACTGGTCCTGTGAACTTGTAATATTTTTTTACCACATTATCATTTGATAGAGAAGTTGTAAATTAAGAATATTCCTTTTGAAAACTGGTTAAATTCATATATATTGCATCACATAAAATTAGAACCTAACTGGTCCTGTGAACTTGTAATATTTTTTTACCACAATATCATTTGATAGAGAAGTTGTAAATTAAGAATATTCCTTTTGAAAACTGGTTAAATACATATATATTGCATCATATAAAATTTTCTTAAACTTCACCATATCTTCATGGCAGAAGTTTTGTATATATATGTGTCCGCATACAGTCAATAACTTTTAATATTTTGAGCTGGAGATATCTCTTTATAACTAGTTCACTAGTCCAATGAACTGCCAAATGCCCATGCAAAAATAGTAAGTGTCTAACCTCGCCACATTATCACTATTTCCTGAAGCATTTCATTTTTTGCTAATTTGTGATACATTGCTAAGCTTTATACTAGTGGATGTATCATCATCAATATCATTCTGAGGTTATGTTTTTTGTCACAAAAATTAACTATTTGATTTTTCCCCCTTTTTTTCCTTTTTTGTCAGTGTATAGGAGTGAATACCTTTGCCCATGACTCTTGTAAATTGAGCAACCAAGTCGCCTTCAGCGATATAAGAGTAGTCTCCCCCTTCTGAACTAGAGGACGACGGGAGTCCTTCCTGGGAAAATGCCTTCATTGGGGTATTGATTATCACCTTCATCTCTGTGAGAGCAGCCTTCACTGACCCTCCATCCATCATCTCCTAAACAAACACAACAGAATTAGTCTTAGTGGTTTTAATAGCAAAAAACAAACCTGAACTATTGAATCATAACACAACATATATCTAGCAAAAATAACCAAATTAATTCATATGTAAATGGCAATATAAGATTAAGTGTTGAGGAATTATGGATTATCTTTTAAATAACACCTATCATGAAACAAAGAAGCTACCTCCCCTGTCTATTCAACTTAACATGAAAACATGTTGTTTTAAAATGTCCTACTAATTTTGATCAGTACAAACCTTTTCAAGTGAGCGAAGTAAGGACTGTCTTTCACGAAGCTTGTTCAGACTGAGCACAATTTTTGTTCTAGCACCTTTTGTTACATTCTGTAAAATATAAATAATAAATTCAACAACAGACCTTTTTGGTGCCTCATATTATCAATCAATCCAAAAATCATTAATTACATAATTTCAAGTGAAATAAATCTTTAAAATACACACTTTACAAAACAGATAAAAAGTTATTCCATAATATGTTGTTCCCATTGATTAATAAGTTCAATAATAAAAAGAAACTACAGATACTTTCCTTTTCCTTCAATAAGGTACAATTAAAGGGCTAATTGGTCCGCATTTAAATTTTCTTTCAACAAATGACATAATACTGTGCACAGGATAATTTTCATGCAATGTTATTTTCAGGATTCAAGGTAGGAAGAATTTGAAAATTCAACATGACAGCAAACATTGGTTCAATTTCCAGATCTACGATGCAGCTTTGATTCTAACATATATGTAACTCAGAGACTGCTTTAGAAGAGGATTGCTGTAATTCTAGAAAATTTGAAATTTTAGGCACTGTTCCTCAGAATACGAAGGAAGCATATATTTCACAAGTTTGATTCCTCTTTGGTCATGGAAGCTTCCTGCAAAATTTCATTGAAATGGGTTCCATGTTTTTTCCCAGAAAAGTAGAAATTTTACTGTTTATAGCCTAATGATGGATGACAAGACAAAAGGCAATCAACTTTGTCTCAGTTGACCTTATAATAAATGACATGGACCAGTCCATGTAAAAGAAAACAGAAAATAGATAGACCAATTATAACTGTTAGGGGGTCAAGTCCCAAGAGCAGCCAATGGATTATCCCAGGGCACAGCTCATTGTTTATTCAATATTGTAAAGACTTTTTTTTTTACTGTTAGTCAATTTGTATTATTGGTATGGGATAATTGTGACAATGTAATATTAACATTGGACATTTTTAAACAATTATAATAAAAAAAACGAACCCATTGTACCTGAGATTCCAACCACTCCTCAGTCAGGTTCATCATTTCTTCATAGGTTAATTGTTGGAAGATATAGGCATATTTATGAAGGCGCAGTGTTTTTAACCATAACGGCACATCTGTAAAATGTAGAACAATGAATACTATGAAAGCTTATTGCATAAAACATTATGCACATGCAAGGCATGCCCATGCTGTGATAGAACAGGTATTAAAAAGGAAAGGGAACCCCAACTTACAAGCAAAGCCGTTTTCTGTCCGATATACACATTAATATATGCGTAACATAGTTTGTAACAAATGGTCTTGGACAGAAAATATGATTGGATTGTTTTTATAAGCTTTTCTGTTATTACATTTGCCTATGATAAGCATTTTGCAGTAATTAACTATGATTAAACAAAGAGACATAATATTAAGACACATTTACATCATTTGGCAGAAGAGGATTGTGTATTGTTAGATTTTTTCTAACACAGAATTTTGCTAGAAGTCTTGATAGCTTAATGAAGCTGTATATATCTTAGCCTTGATAGCTTCGTGAAGCTGTATATAATTTAGCCTTGATAGCTTCGTGAAGCTGTATAGAATTTAGCCTTAATAGTTTAGTGAAGCTGTATAGAATTTAGCCTTGATAGCTTCGTGAAGCTGTATAGAATTTAGCCTTAATAGTTTAGTGAAGCTGTATAGAATTTAGCCTTGATAGCTTAGTGAAGCTGTATAGAATTTAGCATAGCTAAAATTACTCACAGCATTTAATTCCATATACGGACAGTAAGTGTAATAAGTCCGTGACATTTTTCCTGTTCAGTTCTCATTGACTTTTCAACTGAAAACTGTTAAAGCCTAATAAACGTTTCAAAAATATTTTTCCTTAAATGGAAATATGACATTATGCATAATACAAACAATATCTACATGTATCATTAACAAGAGGCCCATGGGCCTTAACGGTGATGTCAATCATCCCTACCAAAATTTGAGTAAAAAAAAGTTAAGAATAACTTTTAAGTTAGTTTGTCAGGTCCATGAGTTGATCATTCCTACCAAGTTTCAGTGAAATCGACCCAGTAGAACTTTACTTTATGTTCAAAATTGCGCCCTTGGCAGCCATATTGGTTTTCTGATCGACCCGAAAAATAACAACACTTGGTCAGAGAGTTGTCAGTAACATTCCCATGAATCCCTTTGACAGTATTTCAGCTTAAGTTAGGGTTAGACGACGAACGACGGATGAAGCGGATACCAATAGATCACTTCATCTAAAGCTCAGGTGACCTAAAAATCTGAAATGTGCTGTTGATAACACCAGTAAAAATAATGGATAAACAGTGCTAACTGCTTCTGGTTTAATACTGACCCCTCATTCCACTCCCCTCCTCCAGGAAGCTGTTTTTGACTGGCTGTGGACCATCCTCGTGGTGGGTGTCTCCACTACTACTGCTGGAGGATGTGATGCTGCTCTGGGGGGAGAGAGGGGCGTGGTCTGATGTCATGGAGTGTGAGCGCCCCCTACTGGATGAAGAGTGTGAAGACTGGTCCTCACTGGACTGTAGCCAATCATTGATGTGGTTTGGCACTGGGATAGAGCAAGGAGGCACCGACACTGACGAGGTTCTCACTAAGGGCTGATGACCTCTTGAACCAGAGCCAGAGCTCACTAGAGGAGATACAAAGAATATGATCAGGAAAACATGACAAAACTGTTGAACAAGTGACAATTCATCCGTCAACACAAGCGATTTGTGAGTTCATGAGTTATCTAGTAGCAATATAAATAAATATAAATATAAGTCACTGATAACAGGAAATTCAGTGAACACAATTTGCTTGAAGATAACTATTGCATTGAGAATCCAAGATAAACTGCAACTTGCAATAACAGGAAGATGAGTGGAACTGACACAAATGATTGAACAGACTTACATGATGACGACTGAGAAGAAGGCACTGATGACAGGAAGTTGGGTGGAGCTGACTTGGTCGGCTGGAGAGGAGGATGGTGTGACCTGATGGCAGTGTGATTGTAGCTTATTTGACTACTGTTTGGTGGTGGAGGTGGTGGAGGTGGGGGTACTTGTTGTTGTCGTCGCTGATTGATGAGATTTTGCTGAGTGATGAGGAGACCGTTGGGTGGGACAGACATTGGGTCCATAGTGTTGATGACGAGGGGTTCTCCCGGTGGTGGGTGCACATGCCAGCCATTTGTTCTCCCACTCCCCACTGGTTTGTGTGTGGCATTGTTACTAATGTTCAAGTTCTCAAGAGATTGATTAATACTTTCCTCATCTTTCACAGGTTTCTTTTGTTGAGGATGGATACTATATGTGAACTGTTCCTCCAGCTTCCCAATCCATAGGGTGAATTCTGAACGTTCATCACTTGTAATTGCAGGGTGCATCAATGAATATGAAATAATTTGCCGACTTTCTTCAATGTGAGTACCATTTTGAATTGTGTAACCCAATATGGATGAGATGAGAGCTAGATACTCAACCTTGGCCTGATTCTTCCCAGTCCGTAGTAGTGGAAGATGTGCTAGGAGCTTTGCAATAGCATACTCTTTGGAATCATTGTTGGCCAATTTGTGAATGTACACTGCAAAACAAAGACAATAATAAACCACAATTTCTATCAGAGGTACTTGAGAAGGGTCATTGGGTTAAAATTTGGGCAAAAAAAGGTGTAACTCAAACCATTGGAAAAGATACAGGAGATAATTGGGGCCTACCAACAGTCTTAAAGGGACAATTAAGTGAAGTAAGTTTTTTTGATGACCTGAAAATCAAGTCGATACTGAAAATATATATCTCTTAATGAAGTTTACGAAGTTGATAATGGCATGACCTGAAGCCAACGTCCAGTGTGGTCAGTTTCATCTTTTGGGAAAGTTGGTGACAAAAATAGCTATGACCGAAATAGCGCAATATCTGGGCCTTTCAGTGAGAAGTTAACATGTACAGCACTACGCTGTCGACCGACAACACAGTCAGTCAGTGTCAGTTATGAATCTGAGTAACAGCTCACACATAACTTATTCTTGAACTTACACAATGATACATCGAAAGTAAGAATTATAAATATCATAATATACACCTCTAATCAGATATTTCTGTTCACATTTGGATTTAAATAAGAATGAACAGGTTCAATAAGAGCTATGCACGCACTGAGAGGGTGCCGCAGGGAGAATTTCAAACCGCAGAAAGCATGATATCAATTGGTATATAAGTAAAATAGATCACTCATTTATAACGATGTTTTAGATGCTGTTGGAAGATAATAATTTTGATTCAAAATAGATGCATATACTAACTTTCTCCATTACTGATTAAAAACACCAAGAAAACATTGTCTCTTGTCAATTTCTCGACATGAATTGTTCATAGGGAGTATAACCTGTAGCTCTTAAAAACCAACAATTTTTGATCTGCATGTTGACCTAATAATTTAAATACAAGAGAGCATACCTGGGTCGTTGGCCTCACTCTCCGTCTGGCCGATATCTGTGCAATCTGTCTGGTCCAACACTTGCGCCAGGAAGCGGCATTGGGTAGGAGATATCTGTTTAAACAGTGTACACAGAGCCACTGTCTGTTCACATTCACTCCATTTCTCAAATAAATTAGTCACAGAGTTCACCTGATCTCTAAACAAATTATTTGATTTCATTATTTTTATGAAGTTTCTTTCTACTTTTAAGTCATTCTTTCACATCTTACAACACTGAAATATTCTGTATTTTATGACACAACATTTGATTTCACATCTTCACTGCAAATCCAATGTCTACATCTAGTGCTATTATTCACATAGTCCCACTCCATCAAAGGGGCGATACCAACTCTACAGTATAGCACTCTTCATATTGCTCCGAGACTCAGCACCCCAAACCAACCTACAAAAACAAACATACAAGGTTAAATAAGCTGGATAAGTTTGCATAGTTTAAATATCCATATATATACATTTATAATACTGTACACATAGTTTAGTGTCTAGTAACAAATCAAACATCCAGGTCATCATCTCTGGTAACCACTGATCATGCTAATTAAGATGACACACAACATGCATAACAAAACAGGTGTAGTGAAAATATCTCCACCAGTTAATCGTTGATATTTATGGTCATCATTGTATATCAGACTGAAACATTAACTTTGCACCGACGGTGACCGACAATTCAGCATTATAAATTACAAATTATAAACCAAACAGTGATCATGATGAGTGCTGCCGATAACAGAGATGTAACTCATCAATAAATCAATAAATCAATAAATCTTTCAAACATGATGCTGTTTATGTGTCACAAATATTTTGAATTATCACGTTTTTGCATAAAACATGCATAATTGAAATACTCAATTTGGGTCTAAAATAAAGTAATGTTGGTAACTTGTTTACACAATATGGAAGAAATCAGAAATATTTCTCACAATTGTAACATAACAGATTGTGAACTGATTTTTTTTATGTTTAGATTAGAAAATCATGTCCACTGATCAGTGATCAACCAATTAGTCACATGTTTGTCAAAATTAAAATAAACTCCAAAGCCTTTTAAGGAACTATTGTGGGGCCAAATTTCAGCCTGATCCCCAATGGAAAATAGTGATAAATGAAAATGTACCCCCCCACCCCCAAGTTCTCTTCAATTTCGAAGATAACTAGGACAAACAAAACGAATATTTGGTGTTACCAGTAACCTCACCTGCCCTAACTTTTTGTGCCTACCCTAAACCTATTAAGGCAATTTTCAAAGAAGCACTGTTAAAGTTAAGATCACTCTCTTATTTAAACCATATAAAATTATTTGTTACCTAACTACCCTAAATTTTTTCAACGTATAACAAGAAACAATAATTTTTTGTATGGCCCTATATGATGATTTTATGATTCTGAAAATTCCAAATTTGAAATACATGTACTTGAAGAAAATCTTCCAATTCCAATTCAATTCCACAGGTTCCATCTCCTTACATTAGTTGGTGCTATGAATCAGATTATGATTTATATAGTGGTCTTATCTTTTTATTGTATATATATAAAACTAATATGACAACTTCACACTTACTAAGTTGAAGACAAGAGAAAATTAGGTATTTTATTAATGAAAATTAATAAACTGTAACACGAAACTAGATGTCTTTGATGCAGATTATGTTGTGCCTGCTAAACTAGAAGTGCCCAAATTTACCTGCAGACTACTTCTTAAAAGGCCAAAAAAGAATAATTGTCTGTTTAGGGTTGCATGGGCAAAAAAACAAGGGTAGGTAGGTCAAATTTTGTTTTGTTTTTGTTTATTTTTGTGTACCGTGTGGTCATGTGATTATGACTCTACTATTGTATGTAAAACAAAGAATTACATAAACAAGGTTCATTTGAAGGCAAATTGTGCTCCATATGTTGACATTTAGCGCCAACATGGAGCTGGAAGCCATTTTGAAAGGCAAGGAACCTTTTAAAAATTGAAAATAAGCAGGTTTTTTTGGGGGGGGGGGGTCGGGGGTAAAAAGCTAGGGTCGGTCGGGAACCCTAAACAGACATATTTATATTTTTTACCAAATATGAAACTACAGCCGTGGTCCGTCAGCTGTCATGGAGACAGATCTAGTGGTACACGTTCATGTTATGTCCAACGTTAACACTAATACACTTTAGTACCTCATCTGACATCATCTACTTATATTTAAAACAAAATCATTTTGTTTCTAGACAACAATAAAATATGTTTGTTGTTAATGATTATAATGAACTTTTATCAGGTCACAATACATCTCTGGTATCAATCTAGACTTGATTCACTACCGTATATGGGTAGTTTCCCATACAGAAGAAAATTCCTGTTCAGTGAAAATATTTCCCTATATGTTTTCTAGTCAACATTTAAAATTTATAACACTGCAAAAATACNGTTTTTTCTTCAAAATATTTCCCTATATGTTTTCTAGTCAACATTTAAAATTTATAACACTGCAAAAATACATTTCTTAACAAATTTTAACAAAAATTCTTCAATTTTCAAATGGATGTTTATACTGCACACATGTATGTCGAACAAATCATTTATCTTCAACTTTCATGACGCTAGTCTTGTATCAAAATTTTAATTTCCCCTAAATCTGAAAAAGGGTAGATTCCCCTAAATCCTAGATTGATCACTGATACGGTAGTATACTCATTTTTTTTATATAGATTTTGAGTAAAGTGGGTAAGATAGCTCCACTATTAGTATAATCTCAAATTCCAGGATTTTCCCTGTATCTTTAACACTAGACTGTCAGTCGACTGACATACAATTATCCCATATTTTAATACCACTTCCACAAAGTATGAGGAATGTCAGCCTAATGGAACTTGATTGTCTCAGGATTACCATAATTAAGTCATTGCTGCAATCCCGAAACTTAAATTTGGTCGTTCAGCATGAGCATTTATAACATTTTTGCCAGGGAGATATTTAATTTTATCAACTTGATACTGTTTTTTCACGCAGTGACAGGGTGTGACGGTGACAGATATAAAAAGTGTATGGAAACAAACTTTTGGAGTTAACCAATCAGAACGGCACTTCCCATTCACTTCATTCAATGTAATAGAAATCGTAAAATTGTTGTGAGTAGTCTATTCAAAATTGCACACAGCTTTATGCCATTAGACTATGGCACCAATGTTAAAGTTATTATATCCTCAACCGTTTTGAATGATCAAGTTACTTTTGTTGCTGTAGGTAGTTTTTTAAATGTAATTAATAGAAAATGTAATGCTTTCCCGTTGAATACCATAATATTTCACTTGTAAGGCAGAACATATCAATATTTTCACTTGTGCTTCACATTTGTGAAAAATATCAGTATCCTATATTCTGCCGTAATAGTGAAATATATAATGGTTGTCAATGGAAAACCATTAAATATGATATATATCATCTGCTGCATACATCACTCTCTTAAAAATAACTTTATTGCAAGGTATGAATGAATAAAATCAGTAAAAATAGCTATAGTCATACATGGAACAAGAACATGTGACTGTCATTGTCGTCAATCAGAATCCATAACAGCCTTATTTTTTCTTCCCAATCATGTAATAAACATTGAAATTGAAAACTAGTGTCAAGGTATCATCCCTTTGAAGTTTCATTAACCAGTGATAATCTACATACAAGTCCCGAGTCCTATACTCCTAGAATTTTGATGGGACTCATAGAATTTCTGGAAATACTGAAACTTAACATTGTGGAACCCATTGCTTTTAGCAATTCACCTGAAAAGGATGCATGAAAATGAATTATAGATTGATCACGGTTAACGTTGGGTTTATGACAAAATTCGTGTATGGTGTGCCATCAATAACTTCACTACACGCGATAAAGATGAGGAAGAATTAGAAAGAATACAATATTTGAAGTAATTTTTATGTTGACGAAATAGATGTCAAATAATGGCAGTATATATATATATATACATATGTAGCTAGAGTGACATTATCTGGCAGGTTCATTAAAGGGAACACTGACAAAGGTGAACGTGGATTTAAATTTGCAGCCAAACCGCTTTCTCTGCATATCTGTGTCAGATCCTTTTCTAGACAACTGTCAACTGAACTCTATGGTATTTTCACATAACCGAAAGGAAGTTAATATTTTTCTCTACTGTCCCGACATATTATAGGGAACAACCCAGTCAATTTCAAGTTCTGCAATATTCATAAAGTGATCCTAGTGAAACCGAGTTGTCTCTCATATTTTTATTACACATTAACTATATTTCACCTCCATGACATATGATACACATTTATCCCTCACCTGTTATCAGCAGACGTATTTATATAGCTATCATCGATGTCAACAGATTAACAATAGTGCGTATGAAAACAAAGCGATAGATAACACTTGTAAATAAATTACATGTATTCAGTGCTCATATTAAGCTATTTATTAAATGAACAACTAACGTTACTGCACAGTACATATTACATTCTAAATCATCATAACAGGATAATCAACAGATCTACTAAAACGTTATATTTTGTACCATTTCATATTTGTTAGGTTGATGCTTACGTCCCTTGTGAAGTCATTTGTTTTACCATTGATATACATCACACAATGGTGGTATCCTCAGACAGAAACAACACATTGTTCGAGTGTGTAGGAAGAAAAACAACTTGGACGAGTCATAAACATGACTGTCGTACTGGAGTTACCGATTTAATCTTGTCCACCATTTTGTTTACATATTCTAGAATCCGTAACCAACATACTTATACATCATATCAGATATATCTCATGTAAAATACTTACCGTTCCGGTTGGAAAATGTAAACATAATACAAAGGGTCATCTAGGTAACTATTCCAATAATGACAGGGTCGTATTATTCAGCTCCACATGTTGAGGAATACTAATGAGTGACGTCATCATTTGTCACAATGGCGGCAAATAAGTAAAAACAAACATGTATTTCATGCTAAAACGTATCTTTTTGACAGAATTACTTTTCCTTTTATGCACATTAAGAAGTTATAATTATTATCAATGCACACAAAGACAACTGTCATTCAGGAGAGTGATCAGTGCAAACAGAAGTGTCGAGATGATAAATGATTATGACCTGTGAACTTAGCAGGTGCGACGAAAGCGCCATCTGTCCTCAATATGCATAACTACGGCCAATTACCAAGTTAAAATTGCTAAAAATAACACACCACAAAAATACTAACCTATAATCTAAGTCCGTGCCTATATTGAGAATCTTTTGCATAAAAATAATAACAAAGATCAACAATAATAAATCTAGCACCGTTCTTATGAACGTAAATGAGTATATTACTATATGAAAATTCGTGATAGTGGATAATAGGTCAAATCACGGAATCAGATTAGACAGGCAATATATAAAAAAAATACGGCTAAATGTACGTGCTGATTCCCCAAGGATCGATCATATCTAAGCTCCTCATATCAATATCGGGTACTGTTTTTATTTTTGGCTGTTCAAATTTCCTTTTCTAATGTACCCAATCAGTACTACACGAATTTACATAAAAAAAGATAGTTCAAATGCCATCATACTCGGCTTTCTGATAAAAGTTAAAGAAGATGTTGTCTTTTTATTTTTTTATTTTGTTTGTTTGTTGTGATACCGTTTATAGGGGCCAAAAACCATCAACATTTTACCAGGAACTGAAACCATGTAGGCTTCCACCTGTTGAACCAGATCTACGTACCCTATACAATACCAGTACGGGTATTTTGTGAATCTCTCGGTTTATTAATTATGTTTTATAGCGACTCAATCATAAAATGCGCCTTATACATTCCATTTAAACAACTTTTTTGCAAAGTCTTCAAAATGTTATTGTCACCGAACCACAACTTTTGCGTGATATTGGCATCTTTATAAAGTTTATTATGTTCAATGCAATTCATCATCATCATCATCATCATCATCATCATCATCAAATGTTTATTTGCTGTTCGGTCCTATTGTTTATATGACAGTATTAATTGCAATAATAATTTCGCGGGGCCAATATTTCGTGGTTGTCGTGCGCGGGGATTAGATTTCGCGCAACACGTCCAGGTAAAAAGTGTTTTGTGAAAGTCAAGTAAAATGCGATATTAAGTTGTTGTTTAATCATCAGTAGAAAACAGGTAAATTATTTGTTTGTGCCTATACAAATATCTATTAATATTCCCTTGGCATATGAATTCGCGCTGTCTTTGGTACCAACTATACAGTATTGACCATTTATTTATATTTGCAAAAGTATAGCTCATAACTCGATAATTTTTCTGTGAGTGCCCACATTATAATGATATCTGGAATATGCTTTTCCAAAATACTTAGGAATTTGAATGTTCAAATGAATTTAAATGTACTACGCTTTAGTGGACTCGGAAATATTGACATACATGTATTTAACGTTAGACACTAACACGGAATTATTTCAAGTTACGCACGTGCAGAATGACATCAAACCCTGCGATGGATTTTTATTAATATTTATCGGATAGTATATTCTCAACAGCCTAGTTACAAATCTGCAACAAATCATCAATGTGACGCGTGTGTTGCTGGGCCGTAAAGATATTGACGCGTTAAACTCCAGTTCAACGCGTTCGTATACATAATTAAACGCCTGCATTTAACGCTTAAAAGTAGCAGAATACAGCAACTTTATTTCCAGATCAGGACCCTCTCGAGCAGGGACACAAAGTGTGTGACAATATAGTATCACTGGCATTACAAGACATCACTTAAGTATGTAGGCTTAGACAAGACAAATAATGTGTAACATTGATATCAACTTTCGTGCATTTTTCATCTATAAAAACCCCTTCTATTTGGTAGGTCTAGACAGTTCGAACAAAATGGTGATTGACGCAGATGGTGTTTATAAATCACTCATTATCATAATACTTGAAAATATCTCCGAGAAGTCGTTGTATTTGAGGCGTTAAACAATGTTTTGTTTACCTCGTTTTTTAGGCTTGTCATAGATTACATTTGGACTGACACTTATTTTATTATTGCTAATTTTGGTTTGGTTTTCGAGGAGGAATTCTGTTGACACACTGCATGACAGCGCTAGCTAAGGTAAATTATTGCATAGATTATACTTAAAATTCCAGTTTGCTACTTTGTTTATTTTAAACGATACAATGTTATAAAGATATTTGAACATATTCTTATCTGAGGGTCATTTTGGTACAAGTTTGATTCAGATGCCGGCCTAGCTTTGGTAAAGTCAATCTACATTGGCCCAGTCAATCTTCATTTTTGCAATAGAAGTTATTTTTGTCTCTCACAATGATGTACATCTATATAATAACACAAAAGTATTGAACATTTAACCTTGGTGTTTTTTTCCGCGGCATTCTTTTGGATCACGAAAATAACTTATCTGACCAACTTTAGTTGGTTTCGCTATGTTTTAATTTCTCATACCAAATGTTACACAAAACGTAGATATTACACTTCAAAATTAGTCAAAAAAGGAATTTTAGACATCTTTGCTAGCCAAGGGTCATGTTCCGGTACGGTCTACCTGTGAAGAGTAGGTAGGCCGGATTGTAATACTTGGATAGCGAATGTGATCTATAGAAGGACTTTATGACATTAATGTATTTAATACATTTACAGAGTTTAAAAATATATGTTCCGGAGCAATTATTTTTAGAAGAAAATTACATAACGTTCGCTCGTTGAAAACTCATAAAAAACCCTTTCAAAACGACAAGTGCTACGATTCGGAGTCGACGGCGTTCTTTCATTTCGACACGATCCTAATGTGTTACATAACTATTGTCTTATACCAGGATCTGTGAGACAGATTAACGACACTTGTAGGTAATTGGTCGGCAATGATCATGAGCTGTCACGTACACACAGTTACACTAAATCTCATGGTTAACATAACGTCGTGTTCTGGCCGTCGGTAGGAAGTTCTATAATCTAAGCAACGTCAAACATCTCACTGTACTTAACAGGATATGTCATAAAATATTACGGTATCCTAATTACTATTTAAATCTTTGCAGGTCTACTCGTTCATTTTTTACCACTAGAACTACGCCAGTCAGGCGCGGATTTAGGGGGGGTGGGGGCACACCCAGCCCCGGCCCCGCGCCCCCCCCCCTCCTTTTTTTGGCGGCGGACTGACCTTTTCCGGGCCGGCCCGAAATGGTCTGATCGGCCGGGAATGGGAACATATTAACATTTTAAAATGCATCAAATAATGCACGGAGCTTGTATAAAAAAAATCTGGGGCTATGCTCCACACATCCTATACAACATCCTAGCAAATATTGTGGTTTTCCGTTATCTGATATTTTTAAAACAATTTTTGTTGGCATCGCTACGCTCGTCTACTTTGTATATTGACCCTAAAGTGTTTTTTATTTTTATTTTACCACCTCCGCAAAACCCCAAGTTGCAACTTGCAACGCTCGGCGGAAATATACTAGCATAAGTTGCATAATTATATTATTGACCGCTCGTTATAGATGATCTAAAAATTAATACTTTTTATTTTATAGCTTACCATCGTGTACGTACAAGAAAGTATCACCAGGTTGCCCCTATAACAATACCATCTGACTTTGGGCCATACTTTAAATATGTTTTTTTCTTCTTGTTAATTAAACATAAAAACAATCCTCAGCCTTTGGCAGCACACCGTTGACTGTTGAGAGAAAACAATNTTCCCAGGAAATGTCAAAGGGGTTTAGGGGAGACAACTCTTACACAAATTATAGGTATCGGACATCCCTAATAAGTATATAAGATACCTATCTCATCGTCCAAAATGGTAGAAAGGACTGGATTAGGTATTGTTTTGAGGCTGTACCTAGTTCCTGTAATTCCTTCCATGATCTGCATGATAAACATTTGAAGTTTAAAAAAAAAAATGAAACGATGAAAAGGATATACTGTGTCTGTTATGTGGGCCACAGCCGTTATCTTTGTGTGATAAACAACCTGTTTCGAGTAAGGTTCTAGGCTCATTTGCACCAACGTCATGTACACACCAGCCTGCATTATTTATATATGCATAGGGAGATACATGTCTTGTTACATAATGTATAATGCGGACGTGCATGACGCATTGTACAGTAATTACTAACTTAAAATTAAAACCAAGCAAAATATAAAAAAGAAATATGAGATAAGATCCTTTAATAAACTACAAAATTTAAACAAGAGTAATGAATTCTTCATGTACAAAGACTAACAGATAGAGTATGTCCCTGAAATATACCTTAACATTAACAGTAGTAATTTAAGGAAAATGTTTACTTCATTTCGTTTATGTGAACACAAACTGGAGCTAGCCATGGGGCGTCTCAAAAGTATACCAAGAGACCTGAGACTCTGTAGAAAATGTGGTTTGTTAGAAAATGAAGTACACTTCTTTTTTCACTGTTCCCTTAATGAATCTGCCAGAAAAGAATATTTCCAAAAATGCATTCCTAATCACAATGATGTTACCTTAGATACCAATTATTTGACCTCAATATTATCTACAAACAACTCGCATTTTATACTGGACTCTTGCTTATTCATTAAACAGTCTCTAGAACTGAGGAGAGTGGGCTCGCTGACAGTATAAGGTGTGGACTTTGCAGCTAAAAATGTTTAAATCAAATTTTCTATTTGAAGCTATGTTAATTTTGTTCATGTTAATGTATATTAGAAATATAAGCAATCACTTTGCGACTTTTCTACATGTACATGTCTATGTATGTATTTCACCGTGTTTTACTATTATGCCTTCAAACTAGTTTGTAGTTACAAATGTGCAAATAAATTTGAATATATATATAATTAACTGTCACTGTAGGAATACTACTATTCATGTGTTGTAAAGCGCCCTCGAGTTATTTTGAAAACCATATTGGGCGCTATATAAATGGTGTATATCATTTTATTGATATTATATATTCTGCAAATAATGAAGTTAACAAAAGCAGACTACTTTAGCAACTGGGCACCATTATCACATGTATATAATATTATCGTTACATTTTCGCAATTACTCACCACCATCAAATTCACTCGCCATCCAAAACAATATTCAAGGTGTTTAAATAATATTGTACGAACATTTTGTCTTGTTG